TCTGCAGACGTGCAGCACACAGAGGACACTGATGATGGCAGTGTCAGCTCACAGAGCAGCTCACGTTTAAGTTTCAGCCAATGAGCTGAGACGATGAGGAAACCCTGAAGGTTTCACACAGTTTGTGTGTTTGCAGGTGTGAATGAATGCTAAACGAAAGCATCTCATTGGCTAATGAAGAGTCACATGAGTCTGAGCATCTTTGAACTCACCACTTCAACGACTTTTAGGATAAAGCGGTTTCTGTCCAGGTGGGCCGAAGGGATCAGGCAGAAGCTGTTTCCGGGGTTTGGGGTCGTGGTGGGAGTATAAACTGGTTCAGCCATGATGGAGCTGAGAGAGAGAACAGAGACGCGTCAGATCACGAACACCACACACTCATGGTTTCTGCTCTAAAAGGGACAAAAAGCTGCAGTGCTAATATTTCAGAGCCATAAACGTCACTCGAATCTCACACCAGAGGCCGGCAGCACGAGGCGGGACCTGCGGCTTAGAGGAAACTTCAGGCTTACCTGGACCGTCAGGTAAACCTGAAAGGATAACCGCAAAGATACATCACCATGGCAACATATGCTGCTGCCCCAACCTGCTTCATTCAGCGGAGTCGGTAAGTTCCAGCTCAGCAGGTTTCATAGAGAAATTCCTTCAGCACAAAAACTGCTAAAGAATCCAGACGTGGCACTTTTAAACACACTTCAAGTCAGGCCTGCTCAGCATCAGTTACCATGGTGATGGTGAAAAGAGGACTGAAAACCGTGGCTTTAAGCTCGCTAACCCGTTAACCTCGCTTCGGATTTGCAGGCCTCGGATCTGCCAGCTCTCAGGACAGCAGCGTTATTAAAGCTCCTCCCACCATCAGACTTCATCTCTGCAGCAGCCTCAAAGTTCACAAAGGAGGAGAACCAGAAACCACATCAACACACAGTCCCAGGGGGTCAGGGGTCAAAGCTCACGTCACTGAATCCTGGTTTACGTCACATTCAACGGGAGACGAAGTCATTTTATAATATCTCAAATGCTTGCCCACTTCCACAGGAACCACGTGACCACCTTTAAAATCCCACCAACAACAAATAATAGTGATAATAATACCCAGCTGCACCTACACAGCAGGTGGGATTACAGGCTTTTAAAACGCTGAATGAACGTGAAGTTAAAGCTGCTGAGCAGAAAACTAAAGCAGTGATTTGGATTTAAGGACAGATGTGATGTATTCATGTCCAACGATGGGAAATCCCTGTTTCAGAGCAGCCGGAACACGAAATCCACCTTAAAAACAAACAGTGAAAGAAAAAAGCTCAGATCTAAATATGGCGTCAGGCTCGTTTGTCTTCATAAACAGCAACAAGGTCGACATGACGTCACGCAGTACAAATGAAGTGAAAAGCGCTGAAAGGTCGCTGAATGTATTTCTGCACTTCAGCCTCCGCGGAGCTTCTCCGTGGAGCTTCTCCGTGGAGCTGCGAGGACATTTCAGATCAATTTCTCATTTTCACAGTAGTGAAAGCGAAAGTGATCGGGGCAGGTGAGCACAGCTCAGGTGTGATAAGAGCAGTTTATGAAGCCATTAGTCGGCCATGTTTGAACCACAACACTGAACTGCAATGAGAAATGCTGATAATGAGCGAGTTTGTGATTACAGACAGCTACAGGTCCAGTCAGAGTGTCCCGACAAACGGAACACACGGCACGCCCCTACTCTGCAGATTATTCGGTGATAAACCAACTTTTTAAGCCTACACGGCCCGCGATCAAATACACGATAAAGACGAAGAGGCTGCTGCCGAAATGAAGAGCGGCTCGGTCACTAAATATCTGAAGATTCTGCGATGATTTTAATTCAGCGCTTTTCTCCAGAAACGACCCTGGAAAATAAAATTGACCTAATTCTGAAAGAAGTCTGGCGTACGTCGCACTTCCAGTGAAACGGACGCGCAGTGGGCTTCGTATTGACTTTTGATGGTGGCCTGAAATCTGCGTAACGTAACCACTAAAACAGGAAGTGAGGATAAAGTTTGAAGTGGATAAAAACGCGAATGTTCAGAAACTCACCGTTCAGTTTTCTGCCGCTGAGGACGAAGATAAAGTTTCCAGCTGTAAAGTTCAGACTCAACTCGAAGCCGTCTTCCTCTCTAATATTACTTAGACTTCCGCATTCTGCCCTGCCGAGCCTAACACACCGGGAAGATTTTCAAAATAAAGGTGCTCAACACTAGTAACAAGGAAAGAGTTTCAAACAACCAAAATAAGACAGAAAGGCGTGAAAAGGTGACACAATACGTGAAAAGAAACAAAAATGAAATGAATCTTTAAAAAAGGTGACAATAAAAGGAAATAAAGTAAAATCAGAGAAAAGTAACAAAATGAAACACAAAGTGATCAAAACCAGAGAGTGACAAAAATTCAGAAAAAGGAAATAAAGTTAAAAAAGAGGAAAAATTGAAACAAAATAAGATGTCAAGTATAAATAAATAAGGTGATAACAAGACAATATTAAGACATGAAGAGGCAAAAATAAGAAAAAAAGACTAAGACAGTGTCTGCGACAAGGAAGAAAAACAATGGACTCGAACAAGAAACATGTTACCAAAACACAAAGTGACCAAAACAGCATTCAGCACAATAATAATAATAATAATACTAATAGGTTCAATAAACTTGCTTTTAATAACTGTAAACCATCTCTGCCATCAACTGTTGAAGGTGTTTCTGGGGCAGATAACATTGCAGCGTTATGGAGACAGCATTACAGCGCGTCGTTTAACTGTATAAAAAGTGAACCATATGAGGACAATTCTGACATGAGCAATGACACAATAAGTGTAAGGACACATGAAGTATATGAAGCCATTCATAGGTTATCTGATAATAAATCCTCTGGTTTGGATCACATCACTGCAGAACATTTAAAACATGCTAGTTTAAGGCTAGCTCCTCTTCTAGCGCTCTGCTTCACTGGGTTTATGATTCATGCCATATTACCAGACTCAGTGCTGTGTATTTTAAAGGTACCAGTTATGAAGGACAAAGCTGCAATAGTGAGATGTTTGGAAAATTACAGGCCGATTGCACTAGCCAGTATTTTATCTAAGGTGTTAGAAAGAATCCTGTTTGACAGAGTTAGTGTTCATCTCTTCTCTGGATAATCAGTTTGGCTTCAAACCAAAGCACGGCACTGACATGTGCCACTGTGACACTGACATGTGACTCAAGGAAATAGTCAGTTTGTACAGGGCTAAAAATTCATCTGTCCTCATGTGTTTCATTGATGCCTCTCAGGCTTCTGATCGAGTGAACCACAGAACACTTTTTGATAAGATGAAGAGACGGGGAGTTCCTCAGTACATCGTGAGGATTCTCTCTTACTGGTACGCTCATCAGAACATGCAGGTTAAATGAGGAAGCAGTATTTCTGCCCCCTTTGGTGTCAGCAATGGTGTCAGACGGGGTGGGATTTTGTCTCCAATTTTATTTAATTTATATGTTGATGATCTGTCCATACAGTAAAACATTGATAAATCATCTCATGTATGCCGATGACCTGATTGTTTTTAGTCCAAGCAGTGCTGGGTTACAGGAGCTTCTCAATGTCTGTACTGAATATGGTGTGCAATATGACATGCTAAAAGTGCTGTTTTGATATGTAGAACCAAGCAGGATAAACAGCTAAATTTCCCTCTGTTTAAACTGGCCCAAAAACTCTTTAAGTTCATAAAAAGGTGAAATACCTCGGTCACTTTATTACTGAGCAAATGAATGATGATGATGACATATACAGACAGCGGTGTAAGCTCTATGTGCAGGCAAATGCTATTGCTCGCAAATTCAGCTTTTGTTCACTTCCAGTTAAAGTGGCTTTGTTTAAAGCGTAAATACTGCCCCCTTGTGGTCATCCTACAAACACTGTAGCACGCAGAAGCTGCATGTTGCATATAATGATGCGATGAGAATCCTTTGCAGGAAACCTAGAAGAGGGTAGTGCCAGCCAGATGTTTGTAGCTGTGGGTGTTTGGACTTTTAAATCACTTTGAAGAAAGTTAATGTTCAATTTTAGAGAACGACTGGATGGCTCTACAGTAACATAGTAACAGAGTCATTTTAGCGCTCACAGATATATATATATATATATATATATATATATATATATATATATATATATATATATATATATATATATATATATATATATATACACCCATATTAAGGTTGGTTTTTTTTGGGGGGGGGGGGGGGGGGGGTTGTGTGTGTGTGACAGCTTTACCTATAACTAAAGCAACCTGTGGGAATTATAACTTTAGCTGCAGAATAAGAAACAACCAAAGGGTTCAAATACAAAAATGTACAAAATGATTTTTTTCAACCACAATATAATAGAGTAAAAATATACAACCCTACTAGAGCACACGTTTAGGATAAACACATCATCAACAATAAAAATAAAAAGTGGAAAGTCGAAAATTGAAGAGAAAAAAAATTAATTCATAAAAAACAAAAAAATGAAGAATCATAAGTTTGCAGATAAATAGAAACGGAGTAGAGAAAAAACAATTTCATTTACAAAAAACAACAAAGAGAAAGAACCAAATTTAACAAAAACAAACAAATAAACAAAAATCTGTGAAGGAAAAGGCAAATTCAAAAATAAAATAAATCAATAAATAAACCAAAAATATTCATAATTTAAAAATATGGGAAGAAAAAAATGACCTGAATCGAAAAAGAAGCTCGTAAATCTATAGTCAGATATAAAAATATAAATTAGTATTTTTTTACTGCCTGTGTCTCTGATCATAATGTGAACCGTACTGCTTTATTACAAGTGAGTCAGCGGCGCTCCTCCGGCTCTGCTGCCCCGCCTGTGCCGCCGGTGTGCGGCCTGCAGGGGTCGCTGCAGCCCGCGCTCCTCTCCCACGTCCTCCGCTCCCTCTCCGCCGGCGTGTGTGAGGCTTTCCCCGCTATAAAGCTGCGCGAGGTGACTGGAAGCTGGAAAGGCTCTCCAGCAGCCACAGGAGCAGGAGGAGGTGGAAGAGGAGGAGGATGAAGATGAAGCTGTGTGTCCGTACGCTCGCAGCTGATCTCAGTTCAGTCCGTCTGAGCTGAGCGGAAACTTTGGATGCTTTTCTCGCTCTGGAGCTTCTTCTTCTTCTTCTTCATGAACATCTGAGCAGGTAAAAACTCAGAGAGCTTCGTCTTTCACAGCCTTTACTCATCATTCCTTTATTGTTTATGTCTCCACTCTGACTTCCTGCCTGATTCTTTAACCTTTATGATGACAGAGAGGTGATTAAAGCTGGATTCACTCCAGCACTCTGAGCATCTCAGGGTCAAAGCACTCTCCTCTTCTCCTCTTCATGTCTTTAGTCTCACGGAGGATGGATGGGTGAGGGGTGGATGGGTGAGGGGTGGATGGGTGAGGGATGCATAGGTGAGGGGTGGATGGGTGAGGGATGCATAGGTGAGGGATGCATATGGTGAGGGGTGGATGGGTGAGGGATGCAGTCTTGTTTTCTTTTGCTTTGTTCTTCAGTTGTATTAATTATGGGGTAAATGTAAATGTTGGAGTGCTCCTATTGGCTGAGTGTGTTTCAGATATGTGGAAATGAGCCCACGTAATTTACTGAGTCCCGTGGACATGAAAGGACTGGGCCTTTATTTTGAAATGAGATTGAGTGTTAGTGTTTCTTTGTGAGAAACAGCACAGGTGTTGATTTATGACCCCACAGTGAGCTCCGTGACTGTCTGTGGATTTTTCACGGGTATTTTGAAAAGCAGGAGAAGCTTCGGTAGCGCTGACGTTTCCTCGCAGCCAGTGAAGCTCTGACTGGAGACGGATGTTTGTCCTTAATCGCTTTGTGTGTTTGGCTCATTAATCAATATGATGGATCATTATTATTCATAAATGTGAACCACGCACAGAGAGACGAGTTATTCATTATTATCCCTGCAGATGAAAAACTTCTCAGCTCGAACTGATCGATAAAGCATCGGTTATGATCTATTCTCCGAGAATGAAGGATATTCGTACTTTGGTATCATGTATGGTTCTCGGTGTTTATTGATCAGAGCATCGATGCTTTGTGAGTCCGTCTCCACCTGTGGTGACGTCACAGTGACCTCAGCAGCACCTTCCTGCCAGTTTTTTGAATTTGTGCTTCGTTTATGAATCTTTGTGATAGTTTGTTTATTTCCAGAGTCGTTTAAAAAAAAAAACAGTTTTTGTTTCTTTCTTTGTTTTTTTTTTTGTCATTTTGCTTCTTTTTACAATATTTTTCTTTTTTCTACTTTTAACCTGTTTAGTTTCTGTCTGTTAGTTTTTTAATCATCATTTTTTAGGCCCTTTATGCACCTTTGTGTTTTCTTTTCACCTGTTTGTTTCTTTTTGTGATCATTTTACATGTTTTTAATAACTTCCGGTCTCAACATTTTACAACTTTTTTCAGTTTTCATTCATTTTACATCCAATTTTGCACACGTGACCACTCCCCCCCCTTCACGTCTCTCTGAGATCACTATTTGACTCTTTTGTGATCGTTTTGCATGTCTTCTCGGTTTATTAGTTAGCTTTTGTGCATCTGTTAGTTTGGTGTCTCCGTTTGGGCATCCCCTCTGTGTCCATGTTGCTTAATGTTTTGGGCCCTTTTGCATCTTTTTCTAACCCCTGTGTAATCTTTGTTGTGGCCACTGTGTCTCACGTGTTCTTTCTTTCTATTTGAGAAGATTTTTTAAAAATCTATTCTTGTTTTCTTATAGATGCTTAGTTTAGGTTTGCAAAATCAGATACTAAATCCCAGCATCTTTTTCTTTTCCGTGTAGCCAATCAGTTTAAAGTCACAGGGGTCATGTGACTCCCTGGTCCTGGTTGCTGCCTGTTAGTGGACGGTGAGGACCTGTTTTGCATTCAGAGACCTCTGTGCAGCACATGAGCCAGAGGTTGGGAAACATTTGTAATATTTGCTTTGAAGTTGGGCTGATTTGCAGACGTGTGGGGTGATGAGATGAAGAAGAGCGATAACGCTCAGGGAGGAGATGTAAAAGGTGCAGCTTTGATTAAAAACCCGTGAAACACGAGCAGATAAACCTGTGCCACAGCTGCATAATCGGACATTAAATTCAGCTAAAAATACCTGGTGCCATGTCTTTGAACGCCTCGCAGGGCCTCAGGCCGCCGAGCCCGCTCTGCTCACATCCTCAAGATTACTTGATTATTTTTACAGGATTAGAAAAGTTCAAAGTTACAAACGTTCTTTTTCCTAAGCTTGTTGAAAGAGTTTTGGACCACGTTTCATTCAGCTTCACTTTCACGCTCAGCTCTCTCGTCACCACACAGACCGGCACAGCGTCCTCACCACTGCAGAAATCCTCTCGCTCTGCTCAACATACTAAACTCCTCCACTCGGCCCAGTAACTCCTTCTCTGCCCGGACTCCGCGCTCTCCCACCTCACAGCATGACCTCAAACCAGCCCAGTGTCAGCTGGAGGTTTGAGAGAGGCGACCCTGAGACAGTCGTCGTGCACGCACGCCGCCCTGCGGCCAGAAACTCCATGTTATCAACAGAATCTGTGACAAACTAAAAATACAAACAATGCCACATAAAATGAACAGAATTGATATAAAAAACACTTTAAAGGCCAGGGTTGTGTGTTGGCAGTCTGCAGGTGCACATCGCTGTCTCCATGTTGTAGCTGTATGCTGTCACCAGGGGGCAGCGTGAGCAAATGTGGAACTACCTGTGAGCTACTCTGGTTTTCGTAAAGACGCCACCTCTCCCCCGTCAGCTCATCCGCAAACATCTGAAACAGGTTACAGGACAGGGCGGTTAAAGCGATCCGGAGCTTTTCAAACTATCGGCAAAGTTTTTATCCACACAGACAGCAGAGTCTAACAGCAGGAAGCACCGTGCTCTTTCAAAATAAAAGAATGAGTATTTAGAAGAAGAAGACGTTTTAGGGCTCATCTGATATTAGTGCCATGATTAATATTTCATCAGGTTTCATCTCTACTCCGTTATCTTCACACATATGTTACTCAATAAGTAAAAATCTGCTTTCTGGGTCGATTTGGAATTTGGGGGTGGAGCTTACAGAAAATTGAATTTTACCCTAAATGTAACTTCTTCTTTTTTTTTTACAGGCTTTGTGTTTTATGTTTTTAGGGCAAAAAAATAGAGCAAAGTGTGTATTGTTCATTTTAATGTAAAGAAATCCAAGTTCAATAAGCTTCCATTGACAGAACACACGATGAATCGCTACATTAGTGTAATTTCAATAAAAAGTCTTATTTTCTTATGATTACAGCAGTTTTTTCAGAGATAGAAACGTTAAACTTTGCACATATTCTCATGTCTGCAGTGGTGCTGAGAGCAGGAACAGCTGGGTGTTTTATTGGAAGATATTTTCACACACGTGGAACTATGTAGAGCGCTGGACTCGATCCTTTAGTCCATGTTGGACAGCAGTGACCTGAGGTGAACCACAGCATCAGCACTGCGACGCTGATAACGAACAGCATCGTCACTTTTTAACTGCAAGAAGAAAGTGTTTGTGTGAAGCAGCTGCTGTTTGCAGATGAATCCACGTTCTCAGGGAGTATTTGTGTCAGTGGGACAGGAGTCGCGGGCCACTCCCCCCGAGAAACCCCGCCCCCTTCATTTGTCCTTCTGCAGTGGCAGCACGTTTAGGCAGTTTTTCACAGCTTCACGCAGCACTGTGCTATTTATACAGCAGGTGATGATCACGGTGAGTCACTCTTCCTCTCCGTCACTATGCTGACAATCAGCTGATCACAGGATGCTGTGTGTTTCAGTCACAGAACAACAGAGACTCAGATTTGCTCTGGATGGAGCCATCTCCATGGCAACGCCCCCTGAGGCACATAGGTACTGTAGTAAAGTACTCTGTAGTACTTCTGTACTACAGTACCTTTCCCCCCCCCCTTCAGCACAGAACAAAGACTATAGATGAAAGACGGACAAATGATTTGACTTCTCAGTTTTAGCCTTTTGGCCTTTACTGCTCAGTAACATCATTAGTTTCACTCTCGGAGCTCAGACTTCTTGGACTGTCCGTTAACACAATCAATATTACCTGTTACTGGTGAGATAATGTCATTAAAAATGTTTCCAACGGCTCCAACAGCTAAACACGGTCAAAGGTCCAGTTCAGGGATTCTGATTAGCTGAGGTGAAGCTGAGCAGACAGCGAGCAGCTACATCCTCCTGTGTCGCCATCAGTGTTGGTCAAGTTACTTGAAAAAAGTAATCAGTAACTAATTACTGATTTCTTCCCCAAAAAAGTAATCGCGTTACTTTACTGATTACTTATTTTCAAAAGTAATTAATTACTTAGTTACTTAGTTACTTTTTAAAAACACGATTTACAACCTGAACAGGTGATAAAGCGATAGATCTTTCAGCCCAATTCTACTTTTTCTGCATAATCCATCATACAAAATGTAATCAGATGGAAAAGTCTCTTTTTAAAACTTGTTTTATTAGTTTTAATCTTTTAACTTTATGCATCAAGCAAACATTTAATTATATGCAACATTCTCTGACTGGAAGAAATTAGTTTAACATTTAACCTATTTTCTGCACATTCCAGCTCATAAAATAAAATATTTTTTGTGTTTGCACTCAGTCTTTCAAATAGATGCAAGTAAAACACAGCAGAAAATAAATAAAGTCAAAGACTCAGCGGTCCTGTTGCTCTATTTTCACCTGTAAAGCAGGAGTGGGGCAGGCGGAGGTTTACCCTGGTGCAGGTGTGCCGCGGTCAGTGGAAGAATCCGCGAGTTTCTCTGTGAGTTTCCCATTACGTCGTAGCTACTCGGTGCTTGTTGGAAGTTTAGGGGTTTTTTTCGCTGTAAAAAGAAGTTTTCTTCCCACGCACAGCGGACACTAATGTTTTTGTCACTTTTTATGGAATCAAACTCAAAGTAAGGTCAGTAGGGGAGACCGGGGATAGTTGTAACGTGGGTCAGTTGTAACACTTTCAATTTCTCCAATCAGGGCTAAGTTTCAAATGATGTGACTCATCCTGTGCATGCCCAATTCAGTTCTGCTATCACATGTGAAAAATCAGCACATTTCGTCAAACACAGACAATTTAACACGAAAAAAAGTAATTTGTATGGCAAAAAGTAAGTTTTTCTACTTTATTTCAATTTCTA